AGATATTTCACCAAAGAGGACATTCAAATGGCCACCAAACACATGAAAAGATGCTCAATATCATTAGCCATCAGAGAGATGCAAATCAAAACCACAATGAGATATCATTTCACTCCCACTAGGATGGCTAAAATTAAAAAAAAAAAAAAAACAGAAAATAACAAATTTTGGAGAGGTTGCAGTGAGATTGGAACTCTTATGCACTGCTGGTGGTAATGCAAAATAGTATCAACATTTTGGAAAACAATATGGAGTTTCCTTAAAAAGCTAGAAATAGAAATACCATATGATCCAGCAATCCCACTCCTAGGAATACATCCTAGAGAAATAAGTGCCATCACATGAAGAGATATATGCACACCCATGTTCACTGCAGCAGTGTTCACAACAGCAAAAAGATGGAAACAACCTAGATGTCCATCAACAGATGAATGAATAAACAAATTATGGTATATACACACAATGCAATACTACACAACGATAAAGGATAATGATGAATCTGCAAAACATCTCACAACATGGATGAATCTGGAGGGCATTATGCTAAGTGAAGTAAGTCAATCACAAAAGGACAAATACTATATGAGACCACTATTATAAAAACACATGAAAATGTTTTCACACAGAAAGAAACAATCTTTGATGGTTATGAGGGAGGGGAAGGGTGGAGAGGGAAGAACGCTAACTAGACAATAGAAGTGGTAACTTTGGTGAAGGGTAAGACATTACACAACACTGGGGAAGTCAGCTCAACTTGACCAGGGCAAGGTCATAGGAACTTCACAGACACATCCAAACTTCCTTAGGGACCAAATTACTGGGCTGAGGGCTGGGGACCAGGGTCTCAGGAGACATCTAGCTCAACTGCCATGATATAGTTTATAAAGAAAATATTGTATATCCTACTTTGGTGAGTAGCATCTGGGGTCTTAAAAGCCTGCAGGTGGCCTTCTAAGACACATCTACTAGTTCCATCACAGCTACAGCAAAGAAGAATGAAGAACACCAAAGTCACAAAGGAAAGATTAGTCTGAAGGACTAATGGACCACAACTACCATAACCTCTACCAGACTGTGCCCAGAACAACCAGATGGTGCCTGGTTACCACCACCAACTGCTCTGGCAGGATCACAATAGAGAGTCCTGGACAGAGAGGGAGAAAAATGTAGAACAAAATTAAAATTTACCAAAAAAAAAAAAAAAAAGACCAGGCTTGCTGGTCTAACAGAGACTGAAGAAAGCCTGAGAGTATAGCCTCCAGACACTCTTTTTATTCAGTACTGTAGTCAAGCCTGAGGTCCACCCTTCAGCCAAAGATTAGATAGGTCTATAGGCCCAACAATAACACCTGTGAGGAACATGCTTCATAGTTTAATTCATGCATAGGAGACCATTGAGAACACGAACTCAAAAGTAAGTCAAGAAGGCAGGAAGGGATAGGAAAACTGAACGAATGGAAACATAGAACTCGGGGTGGAGAAGGGGAGAATGTTGACACATCGTGGGGTCAGCAACCAATGTCACAAAACAATTTGTGTAGTAACTGTTTAATGAGAAACTAGTTTGCTCTGTAAACTTTCACCTGAACACAATAAAAAATAAATAAGTAAATTGTTCCATCTGCAGCCTTTCCCACATCAGGTAACAACAACTACATCCTTCCTGTTGCTGAAGCTCACTGATTCCTTTTTCTCTCTAATCCATCAGAACATCCTGTTGGCTTTACTTGCCTAGTGTATGCAGAATCCAGTCTTTCTTATCATCTCACTGCTACCATATTGGTAAAGACCACCATCATCATTCCTTGCTTGGATTACTGCAACAGCCTTCTAATTGGTCTCTCTTTTTCCATTTTTGTTTCCCTACAGGTCATTCTCAACACAAAAGATGGAGTGATTCTTAAAAAAGACCAGACTTACTGGCCTGATAGAGACTGGAAAAACCCCGAGAGTATGACCCCTGGATGCCCTTTTAGCTCAGTAATGAAGTCACTCCTGAGGTTCACCTTCAGCCAAAGATTAGACAGCCCCATAAAACAAAACAAGACTAAAGGGGCACACTAGCCCAGAGGCAAGGACAGAAGGCAGGAGGGGACAGGAAAACTGGTAACAGGGAACCCAAGGTTGAGAAGGGAGAGTGTTGACATGTCATGGGGTTTCTAACCAATGTCATAAAACAATACATATACTAACTGCTTAATGAGAAGCTAGTTTGTTCTGTAAACCTTCATCTAAAGTTCAATTAAAAAAAAAAAACAGAGTGATTCTATTAAAATATGTCAGATCATGATCTGGCTGCCCTTTAAACTCTCTTATCTCATTTTCTACAACTCCTTTTCCCTCATTAAATTTCAGTGACAATGCTGTTCCTTGAGCATGCCAGGCACACTCCTGCCTCAGGGCCTTTGCACTGGCTGTTGTCCTTGCACTAACATTCTTCCACCAGATTACAGTGTAAACATGCAAAAGCCACTTCTGTTAACGAACATCAAGGATAAGTTTATTCTGAAACAGATGACAGATCGTTTATTCTGAAAATCATATCAGTATCAAAGACATAGTACTGAGAATCTTGCCACTAAAGCCTTTTTTCTTTAAAGTTAGACCGTGGAACATTTTGCTTTTTAAATCACATCACAGACTAGAAGAGCAGAATAAGTAGCATGTGTGAAAGATCAGAATACTCAAGAGCCAATTAGAATCTTTCGCACTTCTGTGAGAGCTAATCTGAATCATTTGCTCTTAATGTATTGCGTGTAAGATCTGCTCAAGCATTATTTAGAGAGGCTGTTTTCTGAAAGCAATCTCCCTTAGTCGGCAAATTTAATCATTTTAGCTTTGTGTTTCAGTTAAACAATCTATATCACTAACGCCCTCATATCTTTCTAATCATTGAATAAATGTCACTTCTCAAAGAGGCCTACCCCTAATCACCCTATTGAAAATTGCTACCTGTCCATTATTAGGAGCCCTGGTGGCGCAGTAGTTAAGAGTTCGGCTGCTAACGAAAAGGTTGGCAATTGGAATCCACCAGCCGTTCCTTGGAAACGCTATGGGGCATTTCTACTCTGTCCTATAGAGTTACTGTGAGTTGGAATCGACTCAATGGCAACAGGGTCCATTATTAATACACCAACTCTAGCCACTCGAAATTCTTATGTTCATTTTTTTCTGTAAAATTTTGACTTTATAATACATCAAATGATTTAGTTATTAAGTGCATTGGTCTATCTCCTTTCACTAGCTCCATAAAGGCAGGGATTTTTGTCCATTTTTCTGACTGATATATCCTTCTCAAGCACCTTACGTAGTACCAGGCACACAGTAGGCACTAAATGTTTGTGAAATGAACATTTAACATTGAGCGAGCCAGGTCATTTTGGAGTGAAATATTCAAAAATTAGCAGAAACCTATGAACAACTGAGTCTAAAAGAAAGCAAGTATTACAGAATGTGAGTGAAAATGACCAAATAAATACCTCACACACAAATATAACTCCTTTCAAAGCTTAGTTTCTTAAAAAACTAAATAAAATATTTAAATATAACCCCACAAAAAGTATTGAAAGTTTAAAAATAATACAAGCATAATTATAATAACATTTACCATTAATAGCCTGTGAAAGTTGAGTCTCATCGTTTAAGAAGTCGAGTAATGAGGAATCTTGTTCATCTTCTGACTCATCATCTTCATCTGATGAAGCACATTCTGCATCTTCTTGAGAAAGTTCTGCTTCATCATCTAAAAACTGCCTACCTACATGCTAAGACAAATAAGAAAACACGAAGATATCCTTAAGAAAATCATTTATTTTCCTTAATTGCAAATATTTCTGAAAAACTGATTTCTTGTCAATGCTTTTAAGACCAAAAATAATAAAAACAGAAAAAACTGCAAGAAGAAATGACAAAGTAGCATATTTATTTAAAATTCCTCCTGCTAATTCTAAGTACAAGTCAGCATGTCACTTAGCTGAATCTTTCTTTCATAAGCGTAAAACCTCCTGAGCCTTCCCGCTAATTAATTTTTGCCAGAAAAAATACTGTATGACAAAAGGACTGACCAGTAGAAAATATGCTAAGAATTCTTTTCCAAGGACTGAATGACACAAACAATATAATGACTGTAAAAGCAAAAATTCTAACCCTCAAATTTTTGCCTCTATATTTTTTTAATTTGAACTATGAATTCTCAATACACTTAAATTTCTTCACATAGTCATTCAGTATAACACTGCAAGACAAAGTTTCAAGACACAAAGAGAAACGAAAAATAGCCACCTTGAGATTTTAATTCCAGTAAAAAGACAAAATTGGGGTCAAAATATTTTTAAATTCTTTTTTCTATAAGGAAAATATATAATGCTTAGAAATAGAGAAATAGAATTCCCATAGAAAATCTAATGTTCATTACTAATTAATTAAGTATATATAATTAAGAAACTAGAAAAAGTTTACCTTTAGGTGGCTATGTCTTTTTTGGACTTTGACACCTCTTTTGGGATTCTTGTTACAACCCTTGAAGTCTTCTAAATGTGGATGTAGTTCGGGAAAATTCTCACTCTCATCACTAGATGATAATTCCAACTACAATAATCCAACAAAATTCTTGCATAAGAAAAAAATAATTGGGTTGTTGTATCTTAGTGTATTTCTCAAAAGTTTCTTTTCTTTCATTTCTTCTTTTTAAATATTTAGCCCAGCATTTTCTTCTTAGATCAACAAAATTCCTCTCACAACTCAGAACCACATTATAAATATATAATATGTAAGAATTTAAAAACCATTAAGGTAGGTAACACTAAAAACTAAAATACTAAATTAGAAAATATAGGTAATACTAATAGACATATTCATTCAATTTAGTATTATCTCAAATAAATAAACACATAAGTGCACACACCTACACGTATCTAACAGCATTTTGTATTTTTAAGTGTTTCCTTTAGAAGATCCTCAAGGGCTTCACAGAAAATAACTGTTTAAGTCCCCAAATGTGACCATCAAAATCAGCCCAAAAATGCAAGAATCCTTTTTTTTTTTAATCATTCTTTCCAGTCATCTCTTTTTTTTTTTTAATTGTACTTTAGATGAAGGTTTACAGAACAAACTAGCTTCTCATTAAACAGTTAGTATATGTATTGTTTTATGACATTGGTTAACAACCTCATGACATGTCAACATTGTACCTTCTCAACCTTGGGTTCCCTATTACCAGCTTTCCTGTCCCCTCCTGCCTTCTAGTCCTTGTCCCTGGGCTGTTGTACCCCATTAGTCTCGTTTTGTTTTATGGGACTGTCTAATCTTTGGCTGAACCATGAACCTCAGGAGTGACTTCATTACTGAGCTAAAAGGGTGTCCGGGGGCCATACTCTCAGGGTTTCTCCAGTCTCTGTCAGGCCAGTAAGTCTGGTCTTTTTTTGTGAGTTAGAATTTTGTTCTACATTTTTCTCCAGCTCTGCCCAGGACCCTCTGTTGTGATCCCTGTCAGAGCAGTCAGTGGTGGTAGCCGGGTACCATTTAGTTGTACTGGACTCAGTCTGGTGGAGGCCGTGGTAGTTGCGGTCTATTAGTCCTTGAGACTAATCTTTCCCGTGTCTTGTTTTCTTCATTCTCCCTTGCTCCCGAAGGGGTGAGATCAAGGGAGTATCTTAGATGGCTGCTCATAGGCTTTTAAGACCCCAGACACTACTCACCAAGGTAGAATGTAGAACACTGTCTTTATGAACTGTGTTATGCCAATTGAGCTAGATGTTCCCCGAGATCATGGTCCCCATAGCCCTCTGCCCAGCAATTCGGTCCCTCTGGGAATTTGGATGTGTCTCAAGAATCCTTTCAAACCAAGAAATCAAACGTAACAACAAATTTTGACTATGAGCCTACCATTATATCTCTAACAGAATATAAAACCAATCAAAAGAAGTTTATCAAAATAATTTCAATTAACAGGAATAATTTTAGTTTATAATGCATTGATCTTAAGCTGTATCAATATTTTTATTCACTTATAATTAGGCAAGGCGTTCTGCTAGTACAGTGGTTAAAGTGCTTGGCTGCTAACCAAAAGGTTGGTGGTTCAAACCCACCAACCATTCTGCAGCAGAAAGATGTGGCAGTCTGCTGCCATAAAGATTATAACCTTGGAAACCCTATGGGGCAGTTGTACTCTGTCCTATAGGGTCACTATAAATCAAAATAGACTCAATGGCAATGGGGAGTGAGAGGGAGGGTATAGTTAGGCAATACAGATATTCTAGCTAAGGTAGCAAGTTAAAGCAATCTTTCTACTGAAGTTTTCTGAGTATACAAAGTTAACATAGACTGATTGCATTTTTAATTAATTTTGCACAAATTATCCTAGATTGTATTGGAGAATTAAAAATATATAAAATTTCCTAGTCTCAAACTTTAGCTATCACGTAAGCTGATGGCAACCAAATGAATATCATTAGCTTAAGACCCACACCCCCTGCAACATCAGATTCACATAGTCAAATGTCTGCCAGATACTAACTTTACTATTCCATTAGAACCTGTTCATCATGGAACTTATCATCTCTTTCTTGTCTTCTCTAAGTATGTGACACATGTACCAAACTGCCCAAGCGAAAAACCAAATCAAATACAAGAAGGCCTTCCAGAAACTGACCCAAACTTTTTCTCCAATTTTACTGTCTGACACTCTGTACAAATAAAATGTGCATGTTATACTTTTTTTTGCTACCTGCGCCCTCCCCCCACCCCAGATATTTTCATAAGCACACTATACTAATTTTTTTACAGCAACATGTAAAAAAATTGGCATACTGCACTTACAAAAATACCTGGGGGGAGGCCCTTGGCAAAAAAAGAACAACACATGTAACGTGTGATATGTTTAAAAATACGATATTTTATGTGTAAAAATATGGTAATATAGAAATGCTACTTCTCATATTGAATCAATCTTTAAGCTGTTAACTGTGCTGCAAATGCCTTCTTGTTTCCTACTTTGCCGATACACCACATGTACTTTAAGACTTTACTGAGGTTATTATCTTTAAGAAGCCTGCTAGAACTCCCAAGGCCTAGGCTGAGGGTTTACCTTTTCTTATCACTCAACTTAAAAAATTACACTGAAATGATTTGTTTACTTATCTATCTCTTGTGGAGGTTAGAAATGTATGTTGAGACTAAAACAAAATGTGGAAAATGAGAATGACATTTCTGTCAAGTCCGGAGAACATGGCGAAACTTGGTCTCATAAGTCAAATGTTTGAGACAATAAGTAACCTACACTTTAACTAGCTTGTTTATGTGTTAACAAACCCTCTTAGAATAGCTCTATGTTCCAGACAAGCTGGCATCTGTAGGCACTGACCCCTCAGACCTGCATCATTTGTCTTCTTAGTTAAAAACAATTCTGAGGAAGAAAGGATTTCAAGAGACATTTTGATGAATATCCGTGAGACTCATCAAAACCCTTGGACTTCCCTGACTTTTTTTGTTCCTTGGACTACACCACACACTGCCTCATCTCAGGTGCAACACCCAGTCTCATGCTATGTGTTATCCAATTTGAAAATTGTATGATCAACCAATAAATCTCTAGTATTGTTTTAACTTCGTTTCAACTCTTAGAAATTATTCAACATTTTCTCCTAGTACATTATTTAAGACCAGGGTATATTCGTTATAGTATCCCTAGCATATAACATAATAAATACATAGTATGTACTTAATGAAAGTTTGCTGAATAGTTGAAGTATACTGATAAAAGTAGGGATAGCTTTTAAAGGGAGTATAAAAATTTTTTAATATTTATTGTACTTAGAAAAGTTTTCTGTGAAAATATATCTCTGAAAACTAACAAAAAAAATAGAAATACCAACGACATGTGAATTACTCTATTTTTCTGTTATATACCTATGTTCACTTATATAGATATTTTCCTTGAAATATTTATTCCAAAGGAATTTGAGCTACTATGGATTATCTGTTATTTACTTACTCTGTTTAGAGGAACTCTGCGCTTTTTGACAGCATGAAGTGGAGAATCAACTTCACTATTTTTTTGATCCTAGATAAATAAAGTAAAAGATAGCAAAAAGTCTTCAAAATAAAAAAATAGCCTTTTATATGATCACATTAATGTGATTACTGAATGACTCACCTCAGGGGATTTTAAAACATTTCTTTTGGTTTTCTTACTTTTTCTTTGGAAAATTTCATCATCTTCACTCTCATTACTTGTTAATAATTGTTCTTCTAAAATTTATAAAAACAATGAACTTGGTTAACAGATTTAAGTTTATACAATAACGACCTCTTTTATTGATGGCTACATTAAGAATCATTTCTGATAATCTCAACATTTATTCACTCTCAAAAAAAGATTTGGTCAGAATTTTGGTCAAAAAGCCAGCATGAGAATAAGGAAAAATAAAACAGAGCCAATGAGGAAAATAAGACACAAAAATGCTAATAAACACACATTTGACTCAGATACAATTTTACAAACTAAACAAAAAGGTCAGAAGAATGCAAAAATGCAATTTTATTAATCAACAGTTCTAGAATTCAAAAATTTGGTTCTAAAATCTACTAGTCTTCCTTCTGCTCTTTGTGTTTTATCTTTCTTCTAGTTGAAGGAGTTAAAACATGAAAATGCAGACTACAAAACACTATAAGATCCTTTTTCATTTGTACACAAACATGAAATAAAAATTACAAAGATATTCACCAAAATGTTAACAGAGGTTGTATCTACATGGTAGGATTACAGGAGTTTTTATTTTCTTCTCTGCATTTCTGGGTTTTCCTAGAGTTTTGTAATGAATGTACAGTTCTACTGTAATTACAAGGGTGGAGGGAAAGGAGGAGATGTTAAAAACAAAATCCTCATGTATGAAATAAAATACTTCAAATTTTCAAGTACTTAATCCAAGCTCTATTTCTGCATTTTCATACAATTTTAATTGAAGACACAATTTTGCAGCAAGCCTTCTATAAGAGCCCTGCAGTGGTTTTAAGATATGTTCACAAATTCTGATACTCCTCCCTTCAAGAAGTAGAGCATAATTCCTCTCCCTTTGATTGTAGGCGGGATTCAGTGACTTGCTTCCAACAGCAGATAGTAAAAGGGATGTTGGGTTAACTCAGAGTCTAGATCATAAAAGGTATTATGGGCTCATCCTTGCTCTATCTCTTGGATCACCTGCTCTACGGGAAAACAGCTGCTGTGTTGTAAGGACACATCAAGTAACTCTATGAAGAGCTCACACGGCAAGAAACTAAGGCTTCCTAGGAACAGCAATGTGAGTGAGCCATCTTAGAAGCAGATCCTGCAGTTCTATGCATGCCTACAGCTGACTGAAGCCCTGGCGAACATTTTGACTGCAATCTCATGAAATATCTTGAGGCAAACCACTCAGTTAAGCCACTCTTGAATTCCTCACCACAGATACCATGAGATAACAAATGTTTGTTGTTTTAAGCCACAGGTTTTGGGGGTAACTTGTTATGCAGCAGTAAATAATTCAGATTTTGGTACCTGGAAATAAGGAGTTGGCATAACAGAAACCTAAACTGTGGAAATACTTTTGGAACTAGACTGTCAGCAAAAGCTGAAAAGACAAGTTAAGTTTTAATGAAAGCTTTAAAAAAATTCAAAGAAACTGTAGAAGATTAATGACTGCTAAGGAAGCTATACGTGAGAACTTAAAGGAAAGTAAGGAAAATCTTACTGGTAACTGAAGAAACATAATCCTTTATGTAGTGCCAGAAAGTTTAGTAACACTACAGTAGCAAAGAAAGCAGAACGTGTACCTAATGAATGATATGATCTAGTCAAGGACACTTCCAGACAAAATGTTTAAGATATCATCTGGCTGCTTCTCGTTGCCATAGTAAAATGCAAGAGGAGAGAGATAAACTAAAGGACAATTAAACAAAAAAGCTGGGAGTTGCAAGTTTTGAAAATTCTCTGCCTCTCCAAATGGCAAACAATGCTAAAATTAAGAAACGGCTTCCAGACAAAGATAAATCCAGAGGCCTGCTAAGAAAACACTGTCTAAAGATGAAGCTAAGGGATAGCTGTAAAGTTTTAGTTAAGACTTCAGAGAAGATCAAAGGTGGTGCCTCACCATTCAGTCAAGATGAAAGTCCCTCTACATATTTTCAGGATGTTCCTCACAGATTCTCTCAATCAAACAAGAGGCCTTCTAAGAAGCTCAAATTAAGGATGTTGTATCCAGACTTCTCAGCAGAAGACCACGGAGAAGAAGGACTTATCTCCAAAAGATTTGTGGGCATGGCTACTGTCTAATAGAATGAATGCAAATAAGATTCACAGAAGACCAACTAAGATTTAAGAGACACAGTGAACTACAACTGAAAGGAACAGAAACAGTACAACATGAAAAAGGATCTGTATCCCCAAATATCTGCAAAAAAGGAAACAGGCTGAGAAAATGCCACAGGTGTTACCTGTTATGGGGAAAAAAAAAAAAAAAATATATATATATATATATATATATATATAATTCAGAAGGCAGGAGCAAGTGTCCAGAGGACAGAGCAAAGAACTACAGATTATTTCTAGGCTTTGAGTCCTAATCAAGGAACATCCGATCTCTGCCCTGCTGTATTCAGAACTGCTATGGACCAGTGATTCCTGTTGTGTCACTCATTCTCCCTCTTTTGAACAAGCAATCTTGAAACCAGATTTTCCTGGCCCAGTCAATTAAATTACTGAAATCCCAGTCAAAATCTTCACTGAAACCTCACAAGAAATTCTGAGCCAGAACCACCCAGTTAAGCAACTCTTGAATTCCTGACCTACAAAAACTATGAGATAAATGTTTATTATTTTGAGCTACTAAGTTTTTTGGAGTAATTTGTTACGCAACTCACTGTCGTCGAGTTGATTCTGACTCATAACGACCTTACAGGACAGAATAGAACTGCCCCATAGAGCTTCCAAGGTTGCAATCTGTACAGAAGAAGATTGCCACATCTTTATCCTGCAAAGCAGCTAGTGGGTTCAAAGTACTAACCCTTCAGTTAGCAGCCGAGCACTTAACCACTGTACCACCAGGGCTCCTTATTTGTTACGTAGCAAGAAATAACAAATATAAACCCACATAGTAAATTTCTCCTCACACTCTGCCAGTAAAATACATACTCTGACAGATAAACTTGAATGATTCCTTTTCGCAGATAAGCATTATTTAATCCAACTAGTTTTTCTTTTTTCATTACCTTCTAAGGAAGTCAGAGTTAAATGCACTGCTCAGTTACAGTAACCTACTCATCCCAGGAGACTTTTTTTTAATGAGCTATTTTATATACACATGTGTGTATACCAAAAAAAAAAAAATCACTGGACCAATAAGCAACATTATGATAAACAGAGAAACGACTGAAGTTGTAAAGGATTCCATTTTACTTGGATCCACAATTAATGCTCATAGAAGCAGCAGTCGAGAATCAAGGCGTTGCATTGGGCAAATCTGCTGCAAAAGATCTCTTTAAAGTGTTAAAAAGTAAAGATGTCACTCTAAGGACTAAGGTGCACCTGACCCAAGACATGGTGTTTTCAATCACTCATATGCATGCAAAAGCTGAACAATGAATAAGGAAGACCGAAGAAGAACTGATGCCTTTGAATTATAGTGTTGGTGAAGAATACTGAATATACCATGGACTGCCAGAAGAACAAACAAATCTGTCTTGGAAGAAGTACAGCCAGAATGCTCCTTAGAAGCAAGGACGG